GTTCTGGAACATGGTCTCCTTCTTCTAAGAAGCATATGGAATTAACCAGATCAAGATATGCTTTACACAAAATGAGATGTGAATTTTTTTCTAAAGAATCTATCTTTTTCACCCTTAGCTCAAGTGATAAGTCAGTCATATATGATTTTCCATTGTTCTTCTTTGAGATTTGTTCAACAAGGTTGAGAAGATCCTGGACTTGCTCGTCTTTCTTGCTTTCAGAGATCTCACACCTATTGTCAAACAACACTTTACGGTCACTGCATTCCTTGAGAATTCCCTACAATAAATTTTGAAATTGTACTCATTTAAGTGATTCTTGATTTTACTAGAATGTATAACAGCTCTTTCACAAGATCTTAAGACAAAATGGTTTGAAAGATAAACCGACCTGAAACTCAGGACAATCCTCCAAATAGTCTTCTAGTGTTTCTCCAACTTTGAGTGCATCCGCATTGGTGAAAACAATGATTATATAGTCAACGATTCGACACCCGAAAAGGATCTTTAATTTGCCAAGCGTGGATTACTCCTCATCCGTTAATCTATTCCTCACCGAGAAAACAAGAAGCACTGCATCAATACCATCTTTAGCCAAACCTAAGCATCTAACAATTTCTCCGCTTGTAAATTCTGTAGTGGAGGAAGCACTAAACAGACCTACAAGCACCAATGCCAATGTGCATTTAGGAAAATATAGGCAAGCGTAAAAATGACCAAGTAAGCACAAACTCACCAGGAGTATCAATAACATTGACGGTCACACCGTTCCGCAACACGGATGTCTGTAGTGCACACTGTTTGGTAATGGATTTTCCTCTTGCTTGTGACAAGAACTTAGTTTCTCCCAGGATGCTGTTTCCTGTTGCCTTTTTACCGTTCCCTATTCGACCGAGTAGGACTAAAGTTCTTCCAGGTTTCGAACCAACCTCTTCTAATACTAATGAATCTGTGTGAACCACAAAAGATACATGATGGTTCTTGTCATGAAGGCGAAAAAAAAAAATGATTAAAGATCTCAGAGGAAACTCATTACTCTTTAGATTGAAGGACACAAGGAAATAAAGACATACCAGAACCAGTTTGGAAATCATCTGCTAAAAGCCTTCCACCCATTTGAAAATTGACAAGTAAATCTGAAAAATATAGATTAAAGGATTTGATGACGAAAGGTAAATGATCAAAAAGGAAAAGAGATCTTTAGACTCTCTCTTTTCTCAAGAACTCATCCGAATCTTGAACATAAAAGACTCAATTTGAGAAACTAAGTTGTCTTCAAAGTTTTATAAACAAAAAAGGAAGGAATATGAAAGGTCTCTCTGCATATTGACTAATGGTTGTTAAATGTGTTCAGTCCCAAAGAGAGTTTTGTTGTCTCGAGGATATTGCAAAGCTCAGTTTTCCATTCCAAACCCAATCAGTGATAAACCAAAAAGGCTTGTAACGTTATACTACTACTTTATGTGATGAACTAGAGATATTATTCCATGCAAAGAAATACTAGAATATTTAACTTTGTCAACTAGAAAAAAAAAAAGCACTAGAAGGAGACAAGACACCATAAGAAATAACTTAATTTGGCTAACATCAAAGATGGAATGAGAGATGCATCTAAAGATCATTCGTTTTAAAAAGATAATAATATTCAAACGAATGAAATTATTAAAAATCTTACCTTCAATTATAAAGATCTCCTAATAAACCAACCATAACATAGGTTGAAGTGCTCGTAGATTAAATAAACATTAACTAGACAAATGTACATGTCCCAGTTTATTCTCAAGGAACAGAGTAATCCGAACAACAGAATAATCAGAACACGCAAGTACCAATATCTGAATCCAACGTTACAGAAATATCAAAATACCAATTGACAGAGTTTTGTTTTTTGGCAGCTTTGTCTTAATTCTGAATCGTCCTTTTGCGCGTAATTAATAACCGCTTTTGCT